GGTCGCGGCGGTAACCGTGGCGGTAGGTTCTTCCACGGTAAGCAGGGCTTCCGCGACTTCCGGGACAGGCGGGACTTCAGAGATCGTCGCGCTGCTTCTCGCGATCGATACAGCGATCGTAGCTATTCCCCCGATCCTATGAGGAAAGTCGACGAAGCGAAAGAGAAGATCAACAAAATGCTCGAAGGCGGAGACGACGTAATGGAACATCAGCAAGGAGGCGGAGGATCGAACGTACCTCCCAGCAAAAGACAAGACGGACCTTTGAGCGAAGGCGAAGAAAGGGACGACGATGACTACGAGAGGTGGGGAGAGGGCGAGGGGGGCGACACTGCTAACAAGGTTGGTTAGGTCTCTTCTGTGTAGGCTTTCGCAAATGAACAGCCTATCTTCTCGTGATGACGATCATGATAATCCGGATGATGATAATATGAGGAGTAAAATGATGAGGATGATAATGATGATGAGGATGATGATGATGATGATGATGATGTTGATGGTGATGATGATGGTGATGATGGTGATGAGCCACACGTACAAGAAAACATGCGACTTAGGAGCCAACTAACTCTCGTTTGTTGCTAGAATGAGGAGGTTGGACCTGTCGACGATAACCTGGAAGGCAAGGAGTACTTCATTGAGCGCATGAAGCAGCGAAGCAAGAATGTTTTAATGCAGAGAGCCCTTGCTGCTAAGATTTGGTAAAAAACCACGTTGCCGTTGCTGCTTCTTCGATTCTTCTCCTTCGTCTGTGATATAGTTACTTTTCCTCAACGTTAAACATCGACCGGATCACGTGAGACATAGACTTCTTATTATTCTCGGTACCGATCGCTTCGGTACGCGTAAACTGAAAGAACATACAGGGGATGTTAATAACGTGTATATGGTAGAGAACAAATGTACAACTGGGGTCATGGCAGTCGAGAGAAATGGAACTTTATTTTCCTCCGTTTTCATCTTTCAAATTTAATTATCCGAGTCAGTAGAGGACGCTTATCGTACGCGAATGTTGATTATCGTAATTTGCGTTGTTTCGCTCGATTGTCATGCTCGCGGGTAAATAATCTTATAGTAAAATATTCCCTGTGATTAATGTGTCAGTGCGAGCGTTTAGTCGGATACTCGTGTTGCAAACTGAACGAATGCTGTCGAATTCCAATTGCCGATTTTTTCTTTTTTTTTTCTTATTTTTAATCGTTAACAGTTAATGAAAAATTAGACGCGTCTTCGTCTCTAGTACTTATTATTCTCGTATCGTAGCATTTGTTTTTTCCTTGTCGTAACGAAACTCTCGCGTAAGTATTAAAGCTAGAGAAGAGAGCGAATCTTCTGCTATGACGTGCACTTTCGAAGGGAAGTATTTGGTCGCAGTATTTGGCGTACGTGAGTGGCTTTTCATTATCATTCATTATCAGGACTAGCGTCGATGTATATGCGTTGCCGTTTCAAACGACAAAGTGACAAATTCCAACCGGTCTGTTCGAGAAGCTAGTTTTTAATCGATTTCTTCGCGCTCTAGCTATCAGCGATCAGATTTTTCACGATCGAAACACCTCACGTTTTTAACTCCTGCGCTTGATAAGACACGAACGGTACAAGCTTTGTAATCAGTTTCCACGGATGTCATATCGTTTTCCGGTGAAATCTAATAAAATCGCGATTTATCGCCGTAAAGAAGAGACACTTCTTTATAGTAAGGAAAATAGTTTTTCCCACAAACGTGTCGAGAACATCCTTTCGGATATTTCTCCACAATGCTTTAGTTCGGAACACGTTCTCACGGCTCGGCCCTTTATTACAAATACTTATTTTAAGATATTATTACAAGTAATTTACTAGTAAGACACTTATATATGTTGTATGTAAACGAGTTGCTGTACAATTCAAAGATCCGCAAAAATACATAACACGAAAACGACAAACCAGTGTTCTACCTTTTTATTCGGTGCATGTTCGATCTTTTGCCTGCATATCTGCGATTATACGCACGCCTCCTTCCTTGCTCGTTCTTATACACCGATGCGCTACTTTCCTCGTTCAAAGAACATTGCCTTCGTCCCATTAAAACTGGTCTGGTTAGGTGATTATTGATAGCGCAACACGATTTGGATATTGCGTTGCATTCGCGACAACGAGTATTTAAAGTTGCAGTCGCGATCGCTGCTTACATTTGTTCGTTCGAACTTGAAGGAAGATGGAGTTTGCACGAGCACTTTACGTTTTCGTTATTCCGAGCCTTTTGTTGTTTATTCTTGTGGACACGGTAATTGGAGAAATCCTATATAGTAAGTAACGTGTAGTTTCTTCTTTATTGCGTACAAAACTTAATTTAGCGGAATATTCTGTTATTTTTCCGTAACTTTTAAGAACCTGAAGTGGTCAACACCAAAGATGACGCATGCAGAGAAAATGAAGTTTACAGTCAATGCCAGGCGGATCAACTTTGCGAAAAGAGTTGCGATAATATCGATATTTGGGAGTCTGCACCTTGCGTCAAATCCAAAAATTGTATGAGCGGTTGCATTTGCAAGGAGGGATACGTACGGGATAAAAGCGAAGGTACTTGCGTTTTGGAAAACAGCTGCCCTAGAGTTAGACATTGATTCTAAACGCATAAATATTCTCTGTGTCATGTAAAAGATGCATACAATTTTTCTTATGAAAGAAATATCATAAAAATAATTATTTCTTGCGTTTGTTTTAACATTTTACCAATTGTTTATAAGTTTATTGGACAATGTTTCTACTACGGTGGGGAACGTGCCTCATTTTCGATAGCAGTCAACGAACGTGTGAGATTTTCATAGCGATGCGAACGAAAGATGCGTAGACGCATTTTGGTAGAAACTGGTGGGGGAACGTGGCGGCGCGCGATATGATAGCGTTTTGAGACGGTTCAGTTCCGCGCCGTCTTTCACGTGCGCGACACATTTCGGGAAACGAGAAATCGTGTTCGCATAAAAGTATCAGTGTATGAATTTTTTGTTGTTTTCTCTATCGTCTTTATTTTAATCTCGCAATATTCTTTTGGATACTTTTTTTTTCTCTTCGAACAACTTGATTTTATACCGTTGCTGTTCGTGTTTCGTGCGATTTTTTCTGATTTATCAGAAAGAAAAATGTGTGACAGTGTATTAAGCGTCCTTTGGATACGATCACGGATAAACCAACGCACTGGATGAACCTGTTTAAAAGTAAGTTTATCGTAAATGCAATCATTTAATAGTTACGAGCGTCCGAAGCGAGTCCAGCTCCTTATTAAAGTTCAATTACCGTCGCAGCGGTGACCGTGATTATTCTCTATCGAGCAGGCCAAAAAAGAAGGTTGTCGGCCACCTCGATCGAGCATCCCCCGTGGGTCCACGTCCATTGTGATTTTAATAAGCCTTATGCAAATTACAAATGAAATTGTCAGCGGCAGGCCCGCGGTCCATTCTTCGTCGTTGATGGGGACAATTAGAAGAGCTTTGTCCGGCGACCACGCGTTGTCCGGCTGCTCGGCAACTTGAGTCCCAACGAGAGGACCGCCCGCCAACCCCTAATGTTTGTATCCGGTCCCCAGGACGTTCACTTCCGATCCGAGAGTGCCTCTGTGTTCGCTGACCATCGACTTCTTCGACTCTCTGCTCGTTGATCGACATAACCGTAATCGTTCTACGTTATGAGCGACGCAGAAACTTTGTGATCGCCTTACGTAACGCTTAAATATTCTACGCGATCTTTACCGTAGTCCATGCGATGTCTCGTAGAAAGGCAAATTCGTCGTTCTGTTCGATCATTCCGGGAACAAGGCCGGCACGGACGTAGAAATGATCGAAGGAAGAGGAAAGACGGCAGAAGTCGCGAGGCAGAACGGAAAAGCGGAAGAGTAGGTAGGAGAAGGAGGTTGGAAATCGAACGGAATCGCGGAGGCTGGAGGTCGATGGTTTGGGTTGGAGATAAGTTTTTACGGTAGGGTTACTAACTTACGGACTCGGCATTGTCGAGTTCTCGGTGACGGGAGGACAATGCGCGTTCGGGACACAATGCTTCACTCTGGAATCTGAAGGCAGTCTTGACTATCAACCTGCAGCCACCCTTGGCATCTGTGTCTACCAATACACGCCCTTCTTGCACATACCACCCTTCCATAGCTAACATACACCCCGCGCGTGTTCTTACTTTCTCATTCTGTCTTCCTTGATTCGTCCCTTTTCCACGTCTACTCCGAATTTTCTTGGTCGTCCATGATTTTGGAGGGTGGCCACGACTTCAGCTCGCTGCGATTCCAAATAACTTAGGTGACGAAGGAAATGTAAATAATGTACGATCGAAACCTTCGGACTCTGTAATAACAAAGTAGACGTCTAAAACGAAAATAGGACATTGTCTACTTTTCTATTTTCAAACGAAGCTATTAATTTTATCGTAGCAGAAATTTGCGATAATCGGTCGGTAAGTCGTATCTTCCGTTGCAACGCGATAGTAACCGGCAAAAGGTCAAGGCTAATCCAGTAGAAAGGATAAACTTTCAGGATAAATCGTTCCTGTCCGAGGAGCACGCGAACGCGTTCGCGGACGTAGCGACTGTCCGTAGGCGCGATCAAAGCGAAGACGAAGCGACTATCGCGAAGGAAGAAACAACGCGGAGTGTAAAAAGATGCGATAGCAAAGACGACGCGAAAAAGCGGAACAGATAAAGAGGGTGTGGGATGAAGGGGGAGGCTGAGGGAGCCAGAGACAGACGGTCGAGCATTTCAATCGCTCTTAGGCTCTCTCTTTGGCTTGGCTTTTCCGTTTCTTTCTCCCACAAAAGCTACATTGTTTCGTCCCTACTACGTTCATATGGACGCGGGCTAAAATACTCCTCTTTTCTGCCGGTAGCACGGATACACCTAAAAGCAGGCCACAGACATACGTACGTGACATACGTATATGCCAAGAGCAACAGAACGACGTCGCTACCATCGTCAGCAACGTTCGCTGGCATACAATCCTTTCTCGTACATTCAATGCTCGTCGCCCACTCGGTATCCTTTTGTCGCTGTTTAGAGCTCTATAGGCCCGGTACACCAGCGTCCCGGTACTCGCCGAGTACTTTCCAGCTTAATTCCGTATCGTCTAACTGGACCGTGGAGAGAATCGTCTGTCTGTTGATCAGGAAAGCGTGCATTCCACGAATTCGTTCGGGCTTTCCTGTCCTTTCTTTTCTGCGCGTATACTCTCACTGGATTAACGGCGAATCGAAAAGCGTTGTTCGATGAAATGCTAGAGAGATCGACCAGAACAGTGTCCGATTACAAGCTTCTGATTCTACTGAAACTTGACGGACACGAATCGAGGCAAGAGTATCGGACGCGTCCGATCACGGTTGTCCGTATTCACTTGCTGCTCTTCTCGCGTTATTTGCCGCGTCACGTATTTTACGTACATTTACTTCGCATCGTTCCAATTATGCTTTCCACGTACTTACGTAAGTCGTTTATAATCGAGTAAAAGATGGCCCAGTTGCGGACGACCAAAGCGTTGGAGCGAGTTATTCTTTACTCTTAAGCTTAATCGAAGTTGAATGTAAGGAAGAACAATATTTGTCTCGTCCAAGTGTGCCTTTCGTCGAAAATCCCCTTAACCCGAAAATCCACGCCCGTAGGACTATTTATTCTTCTGATATCTCGAAGATCCTTTTTTGTCGTACGTGCCCGGGTGCCCAAATTGCCGTTAAGGACGAACATAATATGTACGATTTTTCCCTCTTTTGGTTTCGAGTCTAGCCTTAAACATGGAAAATATTAATTGAAACGTTCGTTAAACGTAAGGGCTCGAAGTTCCCCACTGGAGAACGTTCGTCTAGAGGACATCGTTCTCGAAAGGTCGTGCAAGGAAGTAACGCGAGGTTAGAGCGCTTTACAGGCGGATACAGCAAGAGTGCCCTGTGCTCTATTGATAAACTCTCTTTCAATAGACGCGGATGCTGGCCCCGCTGTTGAGTATCGATAATATTGAAACTCTGAATGCTTCTCGGTTGAATGTCACAATGCGCTCCAGTGATTAATAGACTTCCGCGACTTTTATCGAAATAAGATGTTGCTTTCTGACGGGTCGTCGACGCGACAGCAGGTCGTTTTCGAATTACGTTAGTTTGCTTCGCGTTCCGCGACAATTTAAACGTTCACGAGTGTCGCGGTATCGCGTAATCCTGATCCCTCGCGTAAAATCCTCCGAATTCGCGGCAAAAGTCGAAGGAATCGCGAGGTAATGCGCGCCTCGTTTGAACGATTGACGTAAAGCCGTCGAAACCGAGGCTCTCGTAGTAGCAGCGTCCTGCCACCCACTATAATAATAGCTGGCAGCGTGTATGCAAGCTCATACGCGGATGGCACGTATATACGTAGACGCAGGAGAAGCACGAGGCTGGCCAGTGCTCTCCTTTGTCATTCGACGAAAGCCTTTGTACCGATTATCTGCATACGCTGCCGCGGCGCGGGTACGGCTTTTCAGCCGTCTCCTCTCCTCTCGGTTCCTAGGTTCGCGTCCTTTCGTCGTGATTCCACGGACTACCTATACGGGACACCCTGTATACACACGACGATGCTCGCGCTTTGAAGGCTCGTAATAGTTTAGCGTAATCCGGCATACCTGACTTGGCTATTAGAACTCGACCGTGCCTGGCAATCGTGTAATCCACGGTACTGTTTTCCCGTACCCTAATCGGACTCCGATGGCTGAATTTTCGACGTTGATCCCACGGTTTAATTAGATTCGATCGAATAACCCGTGACATCGACGTTCTCCGACGCGACTTTCTTCGAAAACTCGTTGCCCGAGATTTTTTCTCGAGATAGTTGCTCGATTTGTCGCGAAACGGTGAATAAATTAATTAATAGATCGTGGCGTTCGATCGAAGAACGTATTTCCAATATCCGTTTCGAGGCAGAAACTTTTATCGGTCTTTCCCTGGAAGGCTTTCTCCCTGCAATGCTCCTACGGCTCCCTACTTTTTTCTCCCTTTCCCGTTTTCGCTATCTTTTCCTTTCCTTTTTAACTCCTTCTCCCAGGCACCCCGTTCTCCTTCCTCCCGTGACTATATTCTTTTCAGTATTCACTGTGCAGTTTCTTGTACCGATACTTCCTTCTTTCATCGTCGCGTCATTCAAGCTTTTGATGCCGCGGCGACAAAGCTCTTTACTTCTTTCCGCGGACGAATGAAAGCACGGAACGATGGCGATGTATACCTGCACGTATATACATCTGTATATATGTATTTGGTACTCTCCGTCGTTCTTTCTCTCACTTTCCCCGGCGTTCTCTCTTTCTCGCGCTACCGATATACACGTGTACACGGACGAAAAAGCGTACGCGCGGCACACTTGTCCGCAAGCAAAGCAACGGAAAACTCGGTCTCGGAAGTTTTGAGCATCGAGCGACTGGTACTTTAAATATTCGACGGCCTCGGAGGGAAAAAACGATCGTCGATCCTTCTATTTTCAAGCGTACTCGGCTCGACTTCGATTCGATATTTCTTCACCGTTAATTAACGCGTTCACTGCTACGAATAGCCCAAGTGCGTAATCGTAAACGCCGCCAAGATCGTTAATCTTTGCTAATCCATGGCATAGTTTGCGCGTACCGCGTAAGCGCGCTGGTCACATCTACCTCGAGAATCGACGCGTTCAATTCGTTTCGCGTTCCGATCTAATCGAAGATCATAGTCCGGAACGGTCGAGATAGTTATTCGTCCGCGCCTTATCGACGGACGAAGCGGATTCCAGAATCGTGGAACGAGGACGTAACGCGTTTCCGTTAACGCGTTATCGAGCATCGCATTAACGCGTTGCACAGCCGTCGCCACGGCGTTAAAACAATGCCGAACAGAGCCGTTAACTCCGTGCACACGAACACGCCGGTCCTTAATGGATCAAGGTGCTTAATTCACGAGTATCGACACAGGCGTCGCGATGGAGCCGATAGTTATAATGCTATGCGATACAGAAGGGGTGTCGCGGTGTGCTCGTCGAGCGACGGAGACGAAACGCGATTCTCCGGCGTCTAACGAACGAGCAAGAAAGAGACGGAGGGTTGCGGCGGCGCGAAGAGAGAGCCACTAGCAAGAGGAGAATATAGGGGAAGTCCCTGTCCACGAGCAACTCGCTCAAATCGCTTGTTCGCTCGCTCGCTCGCCAGCAGCGTCATCATAAGACCTCTTTGTTCTCCGGCA